AAAGATGTTTCTTTAAAGCAATCCCTTTGGCTAATCGTGTGAATGGTCGTACTAAAGAACTTTTCACCCAGTAAGACCTGTATCTGCCATCTAAAATCAGCCCAAAGCAGAATGTTAACGTGCACTGTTTTCACTGATATGTCTATCGACAACGTTCATCTTTTCTGTTATTATTTATTCCTCACAGTGATGACTTCTACCACGAGGATTACTGTTTTGATTTATGGGTGACTATGACATTAACACCATCAGAAGTAGAAGCCCAATGATTACCTCCATTTTTATGACCATACTAATACTACATTTCTCATCAGCAACAGGTGGCTTATATGACAGGACTTTCAAGCACTAGGATTTCCAACATTTATGACTGAGAATGCTAGTGATGCGTTTTGGTACGTCAAATTCCTCTTTGTTGTGCGGCGGCTATTACATGTGTAACTAAAGTGGTGCATAAAAACAGAATATATGGCGGAGGACATCCGAATAGCCTACAATATCATACTGAACATTGGCGTCATCTATATATGTTACACTAGGCACTCGTTTATAATCCATATTAGATAAGTTGTTTAATGCTAATGACTTCATCAGGTTTCTTTTATGTGGTTTATAAAATCATTCGCTTACAGAATGGCAAATGACGAATGCTTGCACACACCTATTATTAATCATCGCTTGTTTCGGGGTGTGATAGGGCTTCAAAAGTAATATTCTACAGTCTTCTTTAGCTAGCCACATGATTAATCACAAGATTGCATTTCCTCTTTGCATGGTATATCCCAAGTCATTCTAGGACTCCCAACACGTCTCTCCCTAATTGGGTTTCACTTGAGGGCCTTTCTGGAACTTAATATTTCCTGAATTTCTCTTCAGTATGTGTCCACTCTATCTACATTTCTCCCACCATATTTATTTTGTGACAGATGTAGGGATGGTCCGCTGTTAGAGTTACTTGCTGACCACCTCTCCTGGCTAGCAGCATGGCACTCGGTAACATGAGAATAAAATATAATTTACGAATTTATTATCCTTGCCAACGTATTTATATAACAACAGTGATGACCTTGCTTCTCAAAATGTATTAATTGTTTCACCTTATTGGTGTAGCCATCGGATGGGGGAGATTAGTATTACTGGGTGTGTGGTCATGTTAGGTGCTCATAAAAATATACAAATCTACTGGATTAGTAGCTTTATTCTTCTTACGATCACCGATTCTACAGATATACGGATGGTTACAAATATGCTATCTCAGCTAGGCTTTGGTGAGTTCTGACGCTGACATGCTTAGCGTGTTATATTCAATATAAATCTAACATCATTTTATATCAGGTCCACACAACGACCCTATGAATGAAAATGAAGCAGACTACAGTGAGATTCTCGTGAGATTTCCTATCTTCCATACTGACAGGCAAGGGGATCAGTTGTCGAGAGGTGGCCTCACTGAGACATTCAGTAGGTTAGATAATGATATGAATAACAATTCGTCCCACCGATTTCTCCCCTACGGAACCAACCACTCACAAAACCTTTACCAAAACCATACTCTATAATACAAGAAAGTCCTCTCGCAGACGTCGCGTAGCTTTTTACTGCAACCCTTTAACAAACACAACCAAAAACCAAACGTGATGGTGGAGACAAAACAAACAACAGATAACAGAGAGATAACGAAGTGAAAGAGATTAAGAGTTCGAAACCTATTGCTTAGATTGTTGTTAAATGGTACTATTATTATTGTTCCCTTGGGTTCCTAGTGGAACGTAGGACTTCAACTGCACGTCTCCACTTGCTTCTGTCTTCTGCTGTACTTTTCACCTGCATCCATGTTAATCCATACTGTTTCAGCTCCTGTTCACACGATCTCCTCCATGTCATCCTTGGATCTCCCACTCGCCGCTTCCATTTCCGGTTCCACTCGAGCTATGGCCTGACGCGCGATGTCACCCAGCGGCCTCCTCAGCGAGTGTCTAATCCATCTCCACTTTCTCCTCCATATTTGTTGGGCGATCGCTTCTTGTTTTGTTTGTTCCCATAGTTTCTTGTTGGTGATTCTTTCCGGCCATCTGATCTTCAGTATAGAGCGAAGACAGTTGTTGATAGAGGTCTGCAACAGGCTGTTGGAAATATTCTTGTGACCAGCCAAGTTTCTGATCCGTATAGAAGAACTGACTGACTTGACGTTTGTATTGAAAATCCGAATTTTGTTGTTGAGTGTGGCTGAGTGACGAAGATTTCCAGATTGGTTTCTGGTTGATGAATGTGTTTCTCGCCTTCCCGATTCTCGATTTGACATCCTCGTCTGTTCCTCCTGTAGTTGAGACAATGCTTCCTAGATAAGTGAAAGAAGTAACCTCTTTCAAATCCCTCCCGTTGATGGTGATTGGCGCTGGATGTTGCTGCTGTTGTTGTTGTTGGTTGGTTATTTTCATAACCTCCGTCTTGTCTATGTTCACCTGCAGTCCTGTCTTCTGTGGCTGCTTCTTCGACCAGTTTGTCGGTTTTCGCTTGTGAGTCTTCGATTTTGTGTGACACCATACATAAATCATCCGCGCGCGAAATCCAGGTCTTCTAGGTTCTTCACGTCGGTCCAGGATATCCCTGTCTTCTCTTTTCCTACTGTCTGACGCATAATCCAGTCCACCACAATTAGGAGTATCATTGGTGATAATAAGCACCCTTGTCTGACTCCTGTGTTTACTCCAAACGTCTCGTTGAGTTTTCCGTTGTGGGTCACTTGACATGTGCCGTTGTCGTACAGCTGTTGAATAAGGTTGATGAATATTTGGGGTACGCCGTAGTACTCGAGTAGTTTTCAAATTACTTCGCGGTCAACGCTGTCGAAGGTCTTCTCAAAGTCTATATAGTTGAGGCAGAGGTTTGATTGCCATTCCATGCTTTGTTCGATGATGATGCGTAGAGTTGCAATTTGGTCAGAACATGATTTGCCTTTCCTGAATCCAGCTAGTTCTGGTCGGAGTTATGTATCCAGTGCGTCCTTGATTCTGTCCAGGATGATGCGACTCAGGATTTTACTTGGCGTCGACAGGAGCATGATTCCTCGCCAGTTCTTGCAGAGTCCAAGGTCGCCCTTCTTTGGTAGTTTCACGAGGTAACCTTTCCTCCAGTCAGTAGGCACCTTTTCCTCCTTCCAGACCTTTTGCAATAATGGAGTCAGCATATCTGCTGTCATCTCTGGGTCCTCTTTCAGTTCTTCAGGAGGTATTCCATCTGGTCCAGCTGCTTTTCCAGCTTTCAGAAGCTTGATTGCGTTCAAGACTTCAGCTTCCGTTGGAGGATTGGTGTCAACTTGCAGTTGTGTTCGTGCCGTTTTTGGTATTTCTGGATGGGTTGCAGGTGGTTGTCGGTTCATGAGTCCTTTGAAGTGTTCCGCCCATTGTTTAATCTGTCTTTCTTCTTTGGTAATTGGGTTCTCTTGGCTGTCTTTTATAGGTTTCACTTGTGTTGATCTCTTCCCGGTTAGAGACTTGGTTATCTGATATAGTGTCCTCAGGTCCCTTTTGCCTGCTGCCTTCTCAGCTTCAGTGGCCAGGTTGTCGTAGAATTGTCTTTTGTCCTTCCTGGCACTCATCTTCACTTCTTTGTCCAGAGCTGTGTAAGTTGAGCTCAGCGTCTCCTTCTCTTGTCCATCTTTGCATTGAATCATTTTCTCTTTCACCTTTCTCCTCTCCTCTATTAGCTTCCAGGTGTCCGTTGAGAGCCATTCCTTGTCTTGTTTCTTCTTTCTTCCTAAAACCGTTGAGCACGTTTCGTTGAAAATTACCTTCAGAGAGTTCCAATGGTCTTCCACGGATGATTCCTCAGTGGTGCCACTTAGTGTTTCCTGCTTCTCTCTGACAGTTGCAGTGAAAATGTCCTGTGTGATTGTGTCCTTCAGTTTTTGAGTGTTGAACTTGCATTGTGGCCTATCCCCAGCTATCCTCGAGGCTTTCAGCTTCACCTTGAAAGTTACTTGTACTAGATAATGGTCTGAGCCCACATCTGCTCCTCTTCTCGACCTTGTGTCCAGTAGGCTCCGTCTCCACTTCCTTGAGATTGAAATGAAGTCTATCTGGTTTTTGGTGTGTCCATCTGGTGAAATCCATGTTACCTTGTGTATATCCTTGTGTTTTAACACACTGCCACCAATCAACAAATCATTGAAGGCTCAGAAGTCTGAGAAGAGTTCACCATTGTCGTTCATTTCACTGAGAGCCTCACGACCCATGGTGAGTTCTCTTCCTGTATTATCTCCTCCCAGTTTCGCATTCATATCACCCATCAGGATTTTGATATCGCCATTTGGGACGTTGTCCATTACTGCTTGTAGTTGTCTGTAGAAATCCTCCTTCTTCTCTTGTTCTGTGACGTTTGTAGGCGCATATCATTGAATGATTATAACCCTTTTTCCTTTTGAGTTGAACCTGGGTGTCTTTATCCTGGAGGAGATTGATTCCCACTGCATGAGAGCTTTGGCTGCTGTTGGTGACATCATGATGGCCACTCCCTCGGTGTGCTCGTGATTGTCCTCTGGGTGACCGGAGTAGATTATTGTCTCTCCAGTTGATAGTTGGCACCTTCCACATCCGTTCCATCTGCTCTCGCAGATTCCCAACACTTCTATTTTATATCTCCTCATTTCTGCGGCTACCTGAGCAGCCTTTCCAGTTTCGTACATTGTACGAATATTCCACGTCCCTATCCTTATTTTTGCTTTCATCGAAAGAAGGCACATCGGCTGACTGGCTTCCCGAAGGCTTTCACCAGCCTGCTTCATTTCACTTCCCCGATTCCAGAGAAAAATAAGGTCATTGTTTGTATTTGTAGAATTTTTAATATATTTGTGCGTTGAAGTTTTAGTAGCAATTTGGTTAAGTTTTGGGGTTGGAGTTGCTAGCACCACGCCCCAACCCTCCCTCTTTATCCGGGCTTGGGACTGGCTAGAATACTAGTGACCTAGTAATCTAGGCGAGGTTGTTAAAGGGTATTGGACTATGAAAAATGTGGCACATTCAAGTGTAACGCTACTGTCACATGTGATTTCGAAGCCCACTTTGCAGTCGATTTGTGACGTAATGTAAGCAAAATTTTTGATAGTAATTTGTGTTTAATTTTTAAAGGCAACATGAACGTACTCGGTAGTACCTTGATCAGTCGTGAAATTAATTTTTTTAAGGACCTAAGCTTGTTCCAGGCTTACAATAATGCTAAACTAATTCCTCATAATTCGTCGGCAATGCTGTCCGATGCTAAAGAAGTATTATGTATGCTTAAAAACCTAGTTTATGACAAAGTAATGCCGAAAGTGCTTAGAAATTGCACTGGACGTCAACTTAAGACAGGCTAGCATGTCAGCACAGCTGTATTGAGATAATGCTAACCAAAGCTAAAGCGATCCTGAGAAGGTCGCTAGTAGGTGCAGAACCAATGTAGAGAAACAACCTAGAGTTCTATTTATCACAGAATAGTAATTCGTCTTAGAATCATTTCAGAGTTTACTCACTATGGGAAAAAGGGTTAGCTGAGAATTTGTGGCGTTAGTTTTAGCTTAGTGTTAACAGCTGGTGTTTGTCAGTCACGAACTGAAAATAGAGGTGCATTTCAATTTGGCTGTAGCCAAAGTTTTGAATTCGTGACTTAAATGTTTCGATAATGACGTGTTTATAATGATGTCATCATATACAGCTGTATAACTACTAGTAGTTAGAAATATTATTTCCAACCTAGTGACCTTATTGTTACTCGCCCAGTTGACTGCGGAAAAAACTTTAAAAAAGTCTTCAAACCCAGGTAGAAAAATCGACCCAGCTGGTACGAACACAGTATTCCCACAACTCTCATGAGAAATCGTGCCTAGTGGTATTCACCATTTCGAGGAGATGCTTGCTAATGTCATTGTATGGTGATTATGTGAAATAGAGCTCATTAGACATTAGATTATGACTAGTTGAATGGTTGAATGATAACCTGCTCACCTCTCAATCACCTGAAATTCATGGTCTTGGTCTGTGATGGGGTGGAGAATGTCCAACTCTTAATTGTCCTAAGATTAGAAGAGACATTTGTCCAGGACATCTGATTTTCAGTGATTCTCTAACTGTTGCCATACAATTTGAAATCAATCATATTCCTAGAATGCAAAACTCACACATTTTTACGATGAAATCACAAAAGTAAATGCACAGTGAATTATCAGTTGCACTTACTAAATCGATCTGAAACTCACTTCAGACAGGGAAACATGACAAATCAGCAGGGAAGTACTGGACAGTTGGTTCCTCCTCTACTGACGCTCTTCAGAAGTACACACTCATCACCATAGCAGTCGAATCAACGACATTCAGATGACAAGTTGACATTGTTTACTATCCTGTGTGACGGATGAGATTTCTACTATCATGAAAGCTAGTGTGGCATACGCCAGTTTGAGCCACCTCTGGCGCTGCCGCGGTGTAAGCCTGGCTGTCACAGGTAGGATTTACAACGCCTTGGCGCGGGCTCTCTTGCTCCACCCCTGTGAAACCTGGCCTCTTCGAGCTCAGGATGTGCGGTGGCTCTGCGTATTTGGTCGTCACTGTCTCCGCAGGATTGCTTGCGTTCGATGGCATTAACTCATGAGTAATTCTGAGTTTCGGCGGCGTGTATTTGAACACAGTGGAGATCAACATTCTTTGAGTGTCGTCATCTGGAAACACCGGCTTCGGTGGCTTGGACATTTGCTGGGAATGTCATCTCAGAGGCTTCCGTAAAGGTCTCTGTTCGCTAGCCCTAGGACGGGATGGGAAAGGCGAAGAGGTGGTCAGCCCATGACGTAGCGTCGTGGGATGAGGGATTTTTGTGTAAGGTTAGCATCAGTTGGTGCGTCACGACTCCCTGGTTAGAGTCCGCGAGATAGCTTAAATCAATGGCTCGAAACGTAATCAAATATGGCTAAGAATCGCAGTCAATCGCGAACGTCCTGCAATTTCTTTCTTTCTTCCCTTTCCGGCGATAGTTGACGAATGCTGTTGGAACTTGTTAAGCATGACTTTTCTCTCCGGATGAAGTTCTCTATCCGTTCTCCACCTTTCTTTTTACTTTTAATCTATGTTTTATTATTTTTGCGTGGCTCATCTTCTTGATGCCATATTGTACCAGGTTTTTCCTGTGTGTTCTCCTATATTCCCCCCATTTTTTATTCTTTTACGTTCCCAGTGGAACATAGGGCTTCAAGCTAGAGGCTTGAAGTTTCTGTGGCAGTGGTGATTATTTTTACAGGATGGGGTTGCTAGCCTCACCCCCAATCTTCCCTCTTTACCGGTCTTATTACTGGCGTGGCTAGGTAAAGGGGAGCGTCGGTGGCTGGGAATCAAACCTCAGACCATCTGCGTGGTCGGCGAGCACTACCGCTGTGCCACCGATGCACACATACTCTCCCCATACTTGGACTAATGTGTCAGGATTTCAGTCAATATGCTGCAACTCTAATTTGACTATATTCCTCATATATTATCATTAGACTTGTACGACTAGCAGATATCAGTGGTACTGCTAAAAGTAAGGCTTGATAAATCTCAGTAGTTGTTTAAAAGTTAGAATTTGTGGACAGATATTAATTTCGGCTTGAAAAGTAATACATAAAACTTTTGAACGAGACCGAACAGTAAATAAAATAGATGGACGAAAAACTAATGAAGTATCTCCACGTATGGTGGTAGAATTTGTAATTACTATATAGATTGACGCTGATTCTAAATACCTAGCCAAAAACATTTCACTTTAGTGTTTCCATCTGCGTGGTTCCTAAGAATAGTGCTGAAGAAGTGCATTAGGGTTGTGTATTAAGAAGATCGATTCACTTAATAAATTATTCTCGAACTATATTAGCATTATTTTTATTGACACGTTCATTGTGCGTCCGAGTATTGTAAGGTCAGTTCAAGGACATAGCTGTAGTATTTCTATGAAGTTACACTTGACAAAAAAACCTGTTGAAATCGCAGGAATTCATGAAGGATTTTGGCTACAGTTTCTCAAGCCAACTTACTATTCGGTCGCAAATAAAAGTTATAATTCCTATCGCAAACGGTAGAATTTCCTAGAGATCTAACGATCTGACGCAAAACTTTTAAATTGGTGCATAGCGTTCAGTTATTTACTGTGTAATGAATTTGCAAAGTAACTCTATTTCTCAGTCATAAATGTTGGCAGAACTCATTTACCCTTGGGTTTCTCGTATATGAATTGTTGAGACCTCTTATTTCACACTTTCCATTTTTCACCAACAAAGGTCATTCTTCACTTTTTATTCTAAATTGTTCTAGTAATGACGAAGAAACTGTTTAGTCACAAATTCTAGTTTCCTTTTTTGTTCACTTTCTTTGTAGAATCAAAAGCTAATTTCCCTACTTAGGACTACAAAAATGGGTCGTCGAAGACCTGCAACAAATTGCAGGCAACACTTTACTCCTGAAAAAAAGCAAAACGAATTGTTTGAGAAGTATTACAAAAATCAAGGAATTCTCCCTGATGATGAATGGGAAGATTTTGTGAATTATTTAAAAAGAGATTTGCCGATTACATTTCGTGTGACAGGATTTCGTAGTCAAAATAAGGAACTTTTAAGACTTATCAAACAAAAGTATCGTAAAGATATCTCCGAGATGCAACAGTACATGTGTGATGAAAACGACAACACCAATGGCACTTTTGATCCACTGCCTTGGTACCCAAATGAAATGGCCTGGCAGTTGAGTGCCAGTAAGTATGCAGTACGGAAGACAGAGGAACTTCGAACATTGCAGCAGTTTTTAGTATCTGAGACAGAATCAGGCAAGTTAAACATCCTATACTGTCTTATATTTTACCATATGCATAGTACAGTTTTCCATTTGGCTTTTTTGATTAGCATTCTTAAGAGATTTTAACAATTGTGTAGATCTCCTAATCTGCCAGTAATTAATTATTGTAATGTTTGTGATCAGGGGTTGTACATAACCTTCATATAGAAGACCCAAGCCTCGTCGTAGTATAAAAGTGAGGAAAAAAGTCTATGTTCAAAATATTTCAAAAAGCTGTATTTTCGGAATCATCTTCACGACCAAGGTAAGAAATAGTGGCCCAGTGGTAACGAACGAACTAGTGACCATGGCATTCGCAATCAGATGAAGTTGGTTAAACCCGGTAAATGACATCACAATCGTAAAAATGTTGAGAGGAGTTTAAGAATATCAAACATGATATCTGGTAGGCCTAAGATCAGGTTAGGGTAGGACTATGGTTGAGTTGGGGACACCAATATGCCTTTCTAAGGCGTCTAATTGTTTCAAGGTTATTAGTGCTTTTTTTCCACCTCTAGTCGCTATTCTCAGGCTTTGTCGTCTTCATAAATAGTCTAAATTACACCTAAAGTGGATTTGTGACTACAGAAAGAAACTGTGATTACTCTCAGCGTACTCTGCTAAGAATTTATTTCCACTTATAACACAATTATGTATTTTGTCTTTTACTTTTTTACTATATGATTATTCTTGCTATGATCGGCCAAGTTAAACTTTAAGCACCACTAACTAGCAGTGGAGTGCGGCCGCATCAATGAACTTGAAACGCCCACTGAGCAAGTTAGTGAAACCTGGCAAGTAATGCTGTTATCATCAATAAAATTTGCCCATCAAAGTGTTAGCTTATTAAGTGTGATATCTGGAAAGTTTTAGCTTAGGTTTGGGAAAGATTTAGTTACGGTTTAGGCAAAGGACAAGTTAGGGTTAGGTTAACCTAACAAAGGCGACATTAGGGTTAGTTTAGGCATATTTCAACGTTAGGACCAGGTTCAGGAAAGATTAGGGTTATTGTTAGGGCTAGAAGACCTAAATAATTACTTGCATAGAAAGTGGTTAAATTGCTCTGTTGATATAAGAATAGAACTTGTGAACTGTGGCACAGTATGACTTCATTGTGGGTAAAATTTATTCTGATAAAGTCTCACATTGTTATACAGTAATATTTACTGATGATGTTCCGAGCACAGTTTATTGCCCAGTAAATATTACTGCATAACACTGTAAGATTTTATCAAAATAAATTGTACCCACAATAGAATTATGCTCTGTGTTGATACTCTAACATAAAACAGAGCTATTTTTATCAAATGTGTGAAAAAGGTATCCTCTGTAACACTTTTATACAGTTTTCGTGCATTTTTCTCGTAAATATATGTATTCCATACACAAAAATGCCTCCTCCATGTGATTGGTGCGTTCGAGGTCATTCGCTGATTGGTAGTTGGTGGTGCTTAAAGTTTAACTTTGCCCTATGATCATTTATTTCTTAAACCACTGATCTTGCCTCACTTAATTGATTTCAAACCAATTTTAAATGCCTACTTTACGCTACCATGCAACCAATTGTTTTATGTATGTTGCTGGTCGATTAGTATGCTTTCTTGTTGTTAAGCCATCTACCTAAACTTCTCAGATATTCTTCTAATCTTATGATAGGCACTTTCTTTTCGTGTTATTTGTAATTGATTACACTATCACATTTCACGAATTGTTGTTGCTTCCCTTAACTACGGTCCTCAGCTGAATAGACTAAAAACATGTATGTTCGCATTTCTTAAATAGTATGCATGTATTCTAGACTGTCTACAACTGAAGAGAAGCTTTGAGATAAGATGTCTTCTGTCCTTTTCTATGCTAATATTCATGTGTAACTATTCATTTAAGTCTTCTAAACATATATAATGATGTTCACTTGAATCCTATTGGGATTATTTAAGACTTGTAGTCTCAAAGATTTTATTCAGCAAATTAAATAAGAATAAAAGTGTAATTGAACAGTATAATTACTACTTGAATAAAAGCGAATTTAGTTTAAGTAGTCTCAGAGAAGAAAGGAGAGTCCACTGTTCTGTTAATATCCTCTCAACACATACAAACTATTTAACTTACGACTGCGTTACGCATTTTGAGGCACCACTTTCCCCGTAGAGCCATGTTAGCTGACATGGAATCAGGTTGTAAAAGATTTACGGGTGATCAAACCAAAACCTGCAATCAATCGATGAAATCTTTGAAAGTTGGTTTGAGCCACTTAAGGAAGTGTAGACTGGCTGGCCGGCTGACGTCATCGGGATGCTAGGAACCAGTGGCTTGAGACTTGATGATATGGTTGTAAATCGTTGTCACTTGCATGAATACATCCACTCTAAGTGTCTGCATAGTTCAGTGTAATTTAATAGTCACAGAAGTATACTATTATTATTTCAGACACAGTTTGTTATTTATTTATTTGAAATGATATCAGCAAGTGTTCCACATATCTGTTGTTCTTCATATAAATTTAACTTTACTGTTGTTGTTTTTTTTTACTAATTCCTTTTCAAGGTAACATTAGTCGTCAAGAGGCTGTGAGTATGCTGCCACCACTTCTACTGGATGTTCGTTCACATCATACTGTTCTTGACTTATGCGCTGCACCTGGTTCTAAATCTGCACAGCTCGTTGAAATGCTACACTCTGATGCAGAAGCTTCTTCAACAAACAGTGAATCAGAAACTGCGCCAAAGTATGTCGAGCCTACAGGAATGATTATTGCAAATGATTTCGATCAGAAACGATGTTATATGATGGTTCATCAGGTGAAGCGCCTACAGAGTCCTTGTGTTGTAATTACTCAACAGGATGCCACATGTTTTCCACGCCTTTATCTAACACAATCATCTGATGAAAAGGTTTGTTTATTGTATAATTTATAATTGCATTGATTGCTAATGACTTTAGTCGAACAGAAGTTTCCCCTTTTTTTCACACCAAGACTTAACTCATAAGTGTATTTCTTACCTAACTAGTCCTTCACTTGTGTATTCGTCTGCATCTGTAGTTTCAGTCGGTCAAAGTGATGCAGACTGTCGTATAATTCTTCCTAGTCGCGTTTGTGATGGCTCTTTTTTAGTCAAGTTATCACCGTGTCTCTTCATTTGTTAAAAAAATGGTTGGATTCAACGCTGTTTCATCAAGTAATGTAGCAGTTGTGTTATTCTGTATGACTAGTTGAGGTACTTGTGAAAGCCTCAACTAGTCCGAGTCTTTCTATAAGTACTTGACTTTCGGTCAATGTGTTTTGTGCTCAAATCCTGTACAACCTATTTTGGCTAGTGTAACCAGGTTGTATCATAAGTGTAAGTTTTTACTTCATTCGTATTCCATATCTGCTGCCTACTTCTCAGTTGGTTCCCTTGATGTATTGACTGGATGAGTTTCAACAGAGAACTTTGTACAGAAGTACAGCAGTTCAAGTTGTCACACTCTATGTAACATATAAAGGTAGCGAAAAAATGAATTATAATGGACATAAATATGCAGGAGAAATAAGTATAATAATAATAATAATAATAATAATTTGCTTTATTCCAAAACAGTACTTGTGATACAGAATGGAATTCTCAGCATTTTTACTACAGTATTGCATCCAGTTAGTACATTATCAATAAATAAAATTCTACATAGACTAAGGAAATCTCAGTTCATTATGACAACAACATATCGGCATGTCGGTAGCAAAGCCAAAGTTGAACGGTGTTTGAAAAAGTTAGAAAAGTAGGTGCTGTCATATTTACTGGCGTAAGCGAGAGAAAGAAACAAAGCAGCACATAACGGAAAGAAACAAAAAAAAGAGAGAGGGAAAAGGAAAAGAAAGAAAATGTTGTGCCTATAAAGGATATGAGTTGGAGAGACGAGGTCCAGTTGTTCTACTGACTATTTAATGAATTATAGGTGTCACGCCTAATGCTTTCTTTGTCGCACAGAACACGAGCTAAGTAGGGTATGGTTGAGTTTTTGTACTTGCTAGTGCGAGCATATAGTTTTTCTATATAGGCTTCTGGTTTTGCCTGATGAGATGCAAAGGGAGAGTTGTGAGTGAAGAGGGTGATGTGATTTAGATAAAATGGATTTGGCCCATTTTTCACATGAGTCCATGTGCCTGTCAACCAGAATATCAACAAGCTGGTTAAGTGGCACGTTGCTTACCCTGCTGACAACCTTTAACATCCTGCGTAATAAGGTATAATCTTTCTTCAGTAGCTCTGGAAAAACTAAGGGGGGACAATAGAGAATAATAAGCAGGATGCGAGAATTAACGAATTGTAGGAGTAAGGGTTGGGTTATACGAGAATGTCTTAACTTCTTGTTGTAGAAGGTAAGACGGAATATTTTCTTAGAAATCGTCAAGATATGAGACGACCAGGAAAGATGAGCAGATAGAATGACACCTAGGTATTTAATTTACGACTTGGTTTCTATTTCAGTGCCATATATGTTGCACACCTCGTGAGAGCCAACCAGTTTGTTTAGGTCGGATTTATGCCTAAAGGTGAAATTGACTGTTTGGCATTTGGAGGGGTTTAAGTTAAGACCTTTTTCCTTGGACCACTGGCTGATTTCTGACAGAAAGCCATTAAATTTAGAGCAGTCACTTTGACATTTGACAGGCAAAGATACAGTCAGGTCGTCAGTATATTTGAGAAAATTAATGTCATTTGAAGGTGGTAATTCATGTAGAAAGAAAGAAAAGAGAAGTGGGGAGAGTACAGCGCCTTGGGGGACACCAGCTTCAGTGAGCACAGCAGAGGAGGATTTACCTTTGTACACGATGTACTGCATTCTGTTTGAGAAGTAGGAATGCAACCAGTTAGTGACCCAGGACTCAGTTTTCGTCATAGAGAGCTTATTTAGCAAGAGATATCTAGGTACAGAGTCGAAAGCAGAAGTGAAGTTGAGGAACGTGCAGAGGAAGTATTTGGCACCTTTATCTAATGATGAGACGATACTGTTGTGTAAGATGGCTGCAGCGTCTAAAGTGCTCCTACCCTGTCTATAGGCAAATTGTTTGGTGTCTTCAAAGCTTTTAAGGGAGGGTTCAAGTTTAAGAAGTACTAGTTTTTCCATAATCTTTAGAAACGGGGAAGTGATGGCAGTATATGGAGAATAATGAGGATATAAATGGATCTCAAAGAATACAACGAGTGAAGGCATCTACACCACTGAGAACGATTCTGAGCCATATCATCAACAGTCTCCAGCTATTGGTTCTTAGCGTTTAGATGACCTTAACTAGATAGTCTACACCTCCATACGCAGCTGCTTCAAACCAGCAGTTGAAGACTTGGTGAATTGATTCCAGGTTTTTATCTGACCACCCCTAACTCTTTTCTAATCTAATTCTATGTCAGCTAACATCTCTTTGTTTATTGTGCAACGTAAACTAAATAAACTTTATAGACTTTGAGAAGGCCTTCGACAGCGTTGACCGCGAAGTAATTTGGAAACTACTCAAGTACTACGGCGTACCCCAAATATTCATCAACCTTATTCAACAACTGTACGACAACGGCACATGTCAAGTGATCCACAACGGAAAACTCAGCGAGGCTTTTGGAGTAAACACAGGAGTCAGACAAGGGTGCTTATTATCACCAATGATATTCCTAATTGTGGTGGACTGGACTGGATTATGCGTCAGACAGTGGGAAACGAGAAGACAGGGATATCCTGGACCGACGTGAAGAACCTAGAAGACCTGGATTTCGCGCGTAGATGATTTATGTTTGATGTCACACAAAATAGAAGCCTTACAAGCGAAAACCGACAAACTGGTTGGAGAAGCAGCAAAGACAGGACCTCCAGGTGAACATAGACAAGACGGAGGTTATGAAAATAACCAACCAACCAACAACAACAACAGCAGCAGAAACATCCAACGCCAATCACCATCAACAGGAGGGATTTGAAAGAGGTTACTTCATTCACTTATCTAGGGAGCATTGTTTCGACTACAGGAGGAACGGAAGAGGATGTCAAATCGAGAATCGGGAAGGCGAGAAACACATTCATCAACCAGAAACCAATCTGGAAATGTTCGTCACTCAACTCAGCATCAACAACAAAATTCGGATCTTCAATACAAACGTCAAGTCAGTTCAGAAACTTGGCGGTTCACAAAGAATATTTCCAACAGCCTGTTGTAGACCTTTATCAACAACTGTCTTCGCTCTATACTGAAGATCAGATGACCGGAAAGAATCACCAACAAGAAACTATGGGAACAAACAAAACAAGAACCAATCGCTCAAGAAATTTACAGGAGAAAGTGGATTGGACACTCGCTGAGGAGGCCGTTGGGTGACACCGCGCGTCAGGTCAGTGCTCGAGTGGAACCCGAAAGGGAAGCGGCGAGTGGGACGTCCAAGGGTGACATAGAGGAGATCGTGTGAAGAGGAATTGAAACAGTATGGATTAACATGGATGCAGGTGAAAAGTACAGCAGAAGACAGAAGCAAGTGGAGACGTATAGTTGAAGTCCTGTGTTCCACTGGGAACCCAAGGGAACAATAATAAACGATAAAAAAAACTAAATATGTAATTGTGTGTGTTCATAGACACTCCTGAATGCCTTACGCTTATACATTCAAGAAATAATTCTAAAGTCCAAATTTATTTCAACTGTTAGATTACTTCACGAACGGACATCAGCTACCGAGATCATTGAAAAGTATGGAGCACTAGACATCTGATCTGTTCTATTTTGGACTTTTCAGCAGTGTACACCCACTACGTCAACGTGAATTGGATCTGGGAACTTTAGGCTACGAAATCAAGCTCGTTGAAGCATTCAGCCATCCAAATTTACTGTCTGAAACAGTACTTTTTATTTGTTATTTGCATTTTCAGTGTGCTAGCTATTTATATTATGGGTGGTAGTTGTTATTCAATCAGGATTCTAGTATCCATTAGTCTTTGCCTAACTAAAGTTGTATCTGAATTGTGAATTCCTCAAGCTTTCTCTTCCTTACATTAAAGTGGTTTTTCTTTGGAGAAATATTAAGCCAACCGAACTCCTCCTAATTGATACTGCATGATATATCCCTATTCGTGTTTAGAGCAACCTAGAGCTTCTGTGAAATGTTTTGAGAAATTTCTGGCTGATTAACAGCTATTCGTCCTCCTATATTTTTGAAAAATCATGTATTGTGAAATAGATTTTAAAACCGATTATTTCCATTTTAGGGTAATCAACAAGATCTGCATCAATTACTGTTTGATCGTGTGCTAGCAGATGTACCGTGCAGTGGAGATGGGACACTTCGTAAAAATCCTGATCTATGGTTACGATGGTCTCCTAATCTGGGTATTGGTGAACATCCTTTACAATGCAGGATTCTGAAGAGAGGCTTAGAGCTGTTACGCGATCCAGTGGATGGTTCCACAGATTTTCCTCGACTTGTATATTCTACATGTAGTTTTAATCCAGTCGAGAATGAAGCTGTTGTCGCCAATATACTACAATCTTGTCAAGGCTCAGTTCGTTTAGTTGAACCAGATCTTCTAAGGTGCAAGTCATCGCATTCCTCTGAAAACGATTCCCCTGCTGTTGGGAAATTCATAGCTAGACCAGGATTAACTAATTGGCGTGTAATGGACAAGAAAGGAGTTTGGTTCACATCTTATGATGAAGTTCCTACAGGGTATTTCAAGATGTTATTTTATTCATGAATTCTTGAAATTTGTTTATTTTACTATTGGTAATCACTAGTGTGGTGCTCTACTTAACTGCTTCCTATTCGATACCACTTGTAGTGTGTATATTTGTGAATTGGTGTCAACCAAAATAAGCATTGTTTATAACTCAGTATGTGCGAAAACAGAAAGTTACTCTGTATGACAATCGTTATATTTCTTGACCTAAAGGCGGCATTCGATTCTGTCGACCGAGAGATACTCTAGCGATGTTTGGCTGTAAAAAGAATGCCAAGAAAATACATCGCACTAATCAAGGCGCTCTAATCGAACTCATGCAGCCAAGTGAGAGCTTACGGCGAGTTGTCATCTGAAGTGGTGACAACTAGTGGTGTCCGTCAGGGATGCCCACTATCCCCATTTCTATTCAATTTCATGATAAATGTACCAATAGATTTAACCCTAACTCAGTTCAGAGACTCAGGGATTGATTTGTTACCAGGGAATAATCTCGTTGACTTAGAATATGCAGATGATATAGTCCTTCTAGGTGAAGACGCTGACAAAATGCAGTCTTTTGAACACCTAGAGCTGCAATCTACGAATATTTGACATGCGATTCGCTCCCACCAAATGTAAGGACTGGACTACACTGACTCCTAGCTTAAAGATAGGGAGTGAAGTGGTTGATGGAGCGTGTTGACCACTTCACTTATTTGGGAAGTTGCATCAGTCAGTGCCAGCGGGTTGATCTCTGACGAAATCTCAGCACGGATACAGATGGCTCGTTTCGCATATGCCAGTTTGCACCGTCTCTGGCGTAGACGTGATATCCGGCTGACTGTCGACCAAAGGGCGGATGTACTGCTCAGCAGTCCGCTCCGTCCTCCTTTATGGCTGTGAGACCTGGCCATTGAGAGTGGAAGACATGAAAAGGCTAGCTGTCTTTGGTCATAGGTGCCTGCGTTCTATCTCCCATGTGAAGTGGTATAATAGGGTGAGTAATATTGAGGTTAGGTGTCGAGTGCTAGGTAAAGAGGGGAAATCAATCGACGAGGCTGTGACGCTACATCGACTGAGATGGTTAGGACATGTGTTACGCATGCCTAACTATCGCCTTCCTCGACGGGCAATGTTAGCTGATATAGGGTCAGGCTGGAAAAGAGTTAGTTAGTGGTGGTCAAACTAAAATCAACATGGCTTCATCAGTCAATGAAATCCACAACAGTTAGTTTAAGCCACGTAGGAAGATGTAGGCTTCCTGATTGGGTTCCTCGGGACGGTAAAAACCAATGGCTGGAGACAATTGTTGATATGGCTCAAAATCGTTCTCCGTGGCGCAGATGCATCCACTCCTTGTGACTTATAATACCCAATGAAACTATATTGTTCTTCTATATCACTATTCCTTTTGCCTCATATCTCTGTTTACTGTCTCTATTTTGCGTTTATTTTACTTTCTTCTCTTGCTTAGTGTGTTACATGGAGTGTGGCGACTCGAACTGCTGCACACAGGTGCAAAGTTCTATGTTGAAACCAGACAGACATGACTAAAGCAGACAATATTGTATAGTTATTTATCTTTGAATAGAGATTAGTAACAAAGGACTCTGGAGGCGATCCAATCAATAACCTACCGACTAATCAGTATGCTGAAGGAAATAAAGATGGATTGCACACAGGCTGAGGAGACCGTCGAGTCGCATCACGCTCCAGGCTCTAGAGTGGAACCTGGGTAGGAAGCAACTAGTTGGGTGTGGCACGGAGGGTATCTTGTAAAGAGGAAATAAAAGCTTATGGGCAGTGATGTAGCCAGTTGAAAGTGACGCCCGAGAATCGATTGGAACAGGAATGTGCCACCACGCGGAGTGCGGAGAATGAATAATATTATAAATGTCAGACATCTTTTCATATTTGTAGTGTGTTGTATGTGTGATACCTGTAACTTGATATGCACTAATCCTGCTATCGCTCCTATCGATATCTAATATTTTCCACTTTATTTTGGATAATATAGTCAACAGAATCACATACGTCCATCTCTGTTTCCTCCAGCCAATGTAGCAGATCTACACTTGGAACGTTGTCGACGGGTTCTACCACATGATCAAAATACTGGTGGATTTTTCATTGCTGTCCTGGAAAAAGTGGCACCTTTACCTTGGACTAATGCCTTGAAACGAGAATTTCCTGTGAATAGCAGTAAGACTGATCAAATAGATGATTCATCTGAACAGAAAAATAATGATTCAGGTAATGGGAAATTTACAGTTTTATATTTCAAAATTATCTTGTTATTTATTGTTTATGTTATCTTCAGTTGATCACTAGGCAAAATTATGATCTGATCTATCCTGTTTGATAAATTTCTAACCAAAGGTGAAAAGTGTAAATACAATCTTAGGAAAAATACATGAAAATGTTTAGGATTTTTTTTAGCCTGAATTCTATAAAGCTTGGGACATTTTGCTTACGATTCACTGCATATTACAATATCAAGAGAGCTTTTTAAAAATTAATTTTGAAGGATTTACTCATGATGAATTAAATTTATGTCCGGACTAATCTTCTACAGTAAAAAGTTAAGACAACCAGGAGTCACTCAAGCTCTACTTTAACAATTTGTTAACTATTGTATCTTACTTATTGTTCTTTATTCCTTCCCCCTTAATCTTTCCTGGACTACTCCATAAAGGACTATGTCATATTGTGCAGGGTATTAACGGTTTTTAGTAGGGCAAGTGGTGTACCACTAAGTTAGCTCGTTAATATTGTAGTCGACAGACACCTGAACTCATATGAGAAATCCATGTTATCTGATCCTCAGCACCCTCTTTATTCTCATCGGGTGGGAATAGAAGTCACTATTAAAGATTAACTCAACGATAGCATATTTAACGGGCATTCTATGAGATAGAGATAGTGTTAAGCATGAAAATTACAACTTTCGATGTAATTAGTAAAGTAAAGTGGCTCTTTGATCTTCTCCTATTTGTAATTTATGGTGATATTATTATTATTATTATTGTATCAGAAGGACTACTTGTATATGACTGCTAATAAATTTACAGCACCTTTGTATTTCTAACATAACTGTTTAGCTTAATGTGTTAAAGATTTGAACATAGCAACAACAAATGGGGCAGGATAAAACAGATTCATTGTCTATTTCGTCAGTGTATCTTTTTTCAACTGCACACAATTTAAATAATGAAAGTTAATAGTTCCATCATAGTCTTAACTTGCTTTAGTTCATTGTTGATATAAAACGGAACTAATTAAGAATAATCATGGTGTGGAGATGTACTTCTATGTATAGTATGATCGAAGTTTCTCCAATAAAACAGAAGTGTGTGTGTGGGGGGCTCAAGGGCAGTAAAAACACATTGTGGTACATAATTTTTAAGATTGCTCAAATCACTAGAAGGTTGTTATCACACAATGTATATATGAAAAACAAATTATTGTGAGTTAAGCTAATTTAGTTAGATATCTCATTCATGAAACGCGACGTTTAATAGGTGATGTAACTAAGTACTAATCAAGGCACTCTACTCAAACTCACGTAGCCGTGTAAGGGCTTATGGGGAATTGTCATCTGAATTGATAACAACCAGTGGTGTCCGTCAGGGATGTCCACTTTCTCCTTTTCTGTTTAACTTCATCATAGATATGCTAATGGAAGTATCCTTAACTGAACTTAACGACTTAGGAATTGACTTGTTACCAGGGAATAGTCTTATGGACTTAGAATATGCAGATGACATAGTCCTGTTAAGGGACGATGCTGACAAAATGCAGAGTCTTCTGAACACCTTCAGCAGCAATCTTCGTATGTTTGGCATGCGATTCGCCCCTGTAAAATGTAAGATGCTGCTACAGGACTGGACTACGTCAACTCCTAGCTTAGTGATAGGGAGTGAAGTGATAGAACATGTTGACCACTTCACCTATTTGGGAAGTTGTATCAGCACCAACAGATTGATTGATGACGAAATCTCAGCACGGATCCAAAAAGCTCGGGCTGCTTTCGCTAACTTACGCCATCTTTAGCGTAGGCGTGACATCCGGCTATCAACCAAGGGACATGTGTACTGCTCAGCAGTTCACTCCGTCCTTCTCTATAGCTCTGAAAGATGGCCAATACGAGTTGAAGACATGAAAAGGTTGTCTGTTTTTTATCATAGATGTCTACGATCTCTTTCTCACGTTGGGTGGTATAATAAGGTAAGTAGTGTTGACGTTAGGCGTAGAGTGTTGGGCAAAGAGAAAAAATCAATCGACGAGTTTATAAAGATACACAGATTGAGATGGCTAGGTCACATGCTGCGCATACCTAAGCATCGCCTCCCCCGACGGACGGGCATTACTAGCTGATATAGGTGCAGGTTGGTTGGAAAAGAGTAAGTGGTGGCCAAACAAAAACATGGCACCAATCAATCCATGAAATCCCTGACAGTTAAACTGAGTCAGGTAGGGAGATGCAGACTTCCGGGTTAGGGCCCTCGGGACTCTAAGAATCAATGGTTGGAAACAATAGGTGACATGGCTCAAAATTGTTGTCAATGGCGGAGATGTATTCAGTCTCTGTAATCTTTCATATTCCTTTGTACTATTACTCATTCTGTTTCACTCTTATACTTGTCGAAACTCTATTGATTCTCTTCACTCATCTTCTTGTCTACCTTTGTGTGCTATTTGGAACGTGGCAATTCGAACTGCTGCACTTCGGTGCCAAGTTCTATGTTGAATCCAGCCAGATGTAACTAAGTAAGACGGAAAAGAAATCAAATTTTACTTTTAATAAAAGATGATATAATCGATTAGGGTTAAAAGATGAGTTACTAAGGTAGAGAAATATTTACTACAGCTTGTTTTTGAATACATAAGTCAGGTTTAAACTGTTTGATAGGGATAGCCTCTGCAAACTTCAGTAGACTTCAGCTTCATATTATATAGTTGTAGGCAATCGGCAGGAAGCCTTAGACCTAGGTTTCGTGCTATTTGGCACTCGTCAGCAAGGCATATCTGCAACCTTGAAGGAACTCATGTGCACCGTGATGTCGAGCTACCTAGAATTGTGGCCACATTGCAAACCTGACTGGTAGAATTCAGTCTGTACTAGTTACTAGTGTCCAATCAAGACTTGAGCTTGATTGTTAGCTTATTATTTTGAAAGAATTCAAGGTGTCTATCTGATATCCTGTTTAAATTCACTACGAATAATCCGTTTATAAAGTAACATATTAGAATTGCATGTATGACGATAGATTGTGTCACAATATCTGAAATTACTGTGTGGTGATAGGAAGTGAACAACTTCAGACAGATGCGACAGGAAGCAGGCATCAATTACGGGGTGGTGAATAATTACAACACTACGTAAATGTGAGTAGTGTTATTGGGGTAAATCCAATAAAACACTTGCAATGTCTTCATGGATTAAATGGCTGTTATTTTTCAGCCACGAAAGCACTATATAACGAATACAAATCATACTACTTACTAATCATAAGTAGTATGAATTTTCTAGCATAGAATAAAAATGTAGCAACTATAACTGATGGAAAACAATATTTAATTAAAAGGAAATCTGTCACATTATGTCTGTCTTTATGATGTGACCAAGATTTATAAATATCGAAACATCTGAACATCATTATTTTTTCACGGTTCCATGATTTCTGTGAATGAACATGATGTCCATACTGGGAGCCGACATGTCAACAGAGATCGGACATTCCGGTCCAATAAAATCAACCAACGGGAAATACAGAACTTACTTGAATAAGTAACAACTGGAACCCACTGCACAAGAGTTGGCTGTTGTGGCCCAAATGGCTTAGTAGATAACGCTTTGGAGTTTGAAATGATTGGTACTAGGTCCAAGTTTCAGTGGGGATTGCAAGTACATCCAGTTGACCAGTCCCAAATAGGATGGAGTGCGCATTCTGAACTTTAGGGCTAGTCACCATCCACCAAATAATATTTGAGAATCACCTTCACCTTTCAGTTAAATACATTTATGCATATAAAGTTATTTTCGCATGCCTGAGCTTTGCTATTGGTTTAGTCCGTTGTCTTATAATCACACTTGGTCTTAGTTTCAAAACTCACACCACCTTTCAAGGTTCACACAACCAGTAGCATCATTACCAGCTATAAGAAATGTAAGTGGTTAGTGAGGAATGAAAGTAACAACAACATTTTTGTGTACTTCAGTCTCTTACTATTTTCAGTCGTCACTGATCCAAGGATTTGAAAAATGCCATTTTTTATCGATATTTAGAATTTTATAGTCTCTCAGGTTGCAGACTTTCATCAACAACTGCCTTCGCTGGCTCCATGCTGAAGAACAAATGGCCAAAAATAATTAGTAACGAGAAACTGTAGCAACAAACCAACCAAAAGCCGATTGCTCAACAAATTTGTAAAAGAAAATGGAGATGGATCGGGCATACATTGAGGAGGCCGTCGAATGACATCGTGCGACAGGCCATCGAGTGGAATCCCAATTGGAAGCGACGAGTGGGTCATCCTAGGGTGACATGGAGGAGATCGTGTGAGGAGGAGGTGAGAGATTGTGGGCAAACGTGGTCCAAGCTGAAAAGGATGGCAGAATATAGGACAAAGTGGAGATGTGTTGTTGAGGCTTTGTGTTCCACTTGAAACGCAAGGGAATAATAATAATATTAATCTCTCTCTTACATAATCGAAGGGAAACTGACCGCATAATCGTATAATGCGAATGTGCTAATATTCCTTTGTTTTGTTAGTAGTGTTAAGTAGGTTGTCTTCAATCAAAATTCCCAGGTTGCAAATAACACTATTGGAGGTGAAATTCCATCAGAGTTTCTATCGGAAACCGAAATTTTTCAGATCCAAAAACATGGATCTGCTTGATACCATGCATAGACTTTCATGACGCTGTATGCTACCGACTGATTGGTATGAGTAGTTGGCTGTCATTCACAATAACCACTAGTGGTTAGATCGCTTCTGTCTGGCTAGTAAACACTACTGGTTATTGATGTTATTCGCACTCAACTACTCATATCAGTAGTATGTAGCACAACACATTCAGATTGTCTTCATATATCGTAGTATCTATTAGCTAGTTTATATAATATAATAATTAATTTGTTTATTGTTATTTTTTAACTCATAATTTTTATATTCTACGTAGATTCTCCAGTTATCGCTAAAAAATCACGTATTTTCCATGAGAATGCATTCACCTACATTGATTCAAAATCGGATCCTATTTGGTCAACAATTCGTGATTATTACAAAATTAGAGATAATCTCAATGATGGTGGTGAGGATAAACCGTCAACAATGGCTTTCCGTTCAGATAATTTACTGTCTCGTTCTGGTGTGGAAGGAAATCGTTGCCGTTTTATTTATTACACAAACAGTTTAATCAAAAATATGGTGTTGACAAATATGGATAGAGGTTTGTGCTCACAATTGAATGTGTATCTTAATTTTGATTATAATCTGTTGGGTAGTGCCTAATTGTTTTAGCGTGCGTCTGTGTTTGTGTGTTGTGTAGTCCAGGCATGGATCTCGAACTGTAGTTCTGTGTTAGGAAGGTGAGAATGCATTTTATTCGAGTTAATGCATTCAGACTAAAATCAATTACTCTGAGACTATTAATTTGTTCACTTATGCATTTTTTGTCAAAACTTTTCTGCATTGAATTATTCAGTCAACGAAGTTGGCAGTAGCAACAGATAGTATTTAGTCAGTACGCGTTAGATTGTTATTTTCATATTTCGACGAAGTAGAATGTTAAGAATACACACCACTATAATGTGAGCGGTCCTTGAGTTTCAGAATTTTCATAGTGGAAACTTTCCTTTTTCTGAAATGGATTACATAGTTCCGTCAAGTCACTATTGCTTTGAGGTGGATTGCATTTAGTCTCTGAAACATCGGTCTAGACATTTGAACACTTTATCGTTAATTATGTGTTTATGTAGGTTGAAGTTTGCTTTTTCTACTTCCCTCTAAATGGTTGGATAGTAATATATGACAGGGGAGAATGAATCAGGCATACACCCTATAAAATGCTGGTGTTATGCACTGGTTTCTTCTGTAGTTACTTGCTTAACATTGTCACTTTACGAATTGTTTGTTTGAATTCATGTACTCGGAACAGCTCTTTTATGTATTAGGTTAAGAGGGTGACAAAATGCAGAGTCTTCTGAACACCTCGAGCGGGTATTTTTGAATGTGTAGCATGTGATATACTCTTGTTAAGTGTAAGATGATGCTACAGGACTGGACTACATCGACTCCCAGCTTAAAGATAGGGAGTGAAGTGGTAGAGTCTGTTGACCACTTATTTATGAAGTTGCATCAGCGCTGATGGATTAATTGTTAATGGAATTTCAGCACGAATAGAAAAGGCCCGTGCGGCATTTGCCAACTTACGTCATCTCTAGCGTAGACGTGATATCCAGCTGTCGGCCTAAGGACGTGTGTACTGTGCACCAGTTCGGTCTATCCTCCTTAGTGGGTGTGGGACATAGAAATTGGAAGTGAGGGGTACCAAAAGGTTAGATGTCTTTGACCATAGACATTTGCATACTATCGCCCATGTTAAGTGGTATAATATGGTGAGTGGCATTGATTTTAGGCGTAGAGTGCTAGGTGTAGAAGGGAAGTTGGTCGATAAGGTGGTGAAGTTAAATCCACTGAGATGACCAGAACATGTGTTGCGGATGCCAAGTCACCAACTCCCCCAACATAGAATCGGCTTGAAAGAGAATTAGGGGTGGTCAAACCAAAACTTGGCCTTGATAGTTGTTTTTCATAGCGTAGAGAGGTGTACATTTCCTGGTTTGGGATACCACACCAAAGTCAAAATTGGATAGTGAATACTAGTCACATGTGGTAATCAAATCAGTTTACCGAGTAACTCATTCGAAATGTGTGTTTTTTCATTCTGAGTGGAATATAAGGACATCAAAGTGTAGACTTTTTCTTTGGTTATAGCTTCATTCCACACTGTATTTTTGGTACGAGTACTGAATTTTCAGCATGTGACATCGGTAGCCCAAATTTTGCAGGCCGACCAAAGATATCAGGTGTGCGTCGGTAGGGGGGCAAACCCCGGACCATGTACATGGCCGGCGAGAGTCCCAACCGCTGTGCCACCGACGTACATTAGCGGCGGTGTTGTTTTTTCTGGCTTAATTCCACCTAGTTATTTGTGGGAGTACGCTGACCGGGATTCGAACCCTGACCTCCATTGTGGTTGGCGAGCATTCTACATTGAGCCACCAAAACCTTTTGAAATAAGTATCGACTCTCAAAAAGTAATCAAAGTATGTTGACCCTTGGAAGTTGATTGACAGTTTCCCTACTAAAGATTGAAATGCATCTAACCCAATGAACTGGTTAAGAACTTATTTTGTCTCTCTTGTTTTATACTGTATCAAATTTTAGGATTAAAAATAGTCAACACGGGTGTTCGAGTATTCGCTTCAATGGAAGATAAACAATTCGAAGGATATCGATTGCTTCAAGATGGTATTGAAGTGACTGATGCTTATGTTTCTCTGTCAAGTAATCGTCGTGTTCGTCTTACACCAAATGAGTACTCGGATCTAGTTATTTTGTTAGAGCATGAAATGCCATTATTAACTCTGATGACTGAGTCTACTCAGCGTCAGTGTGAAGCGATATCACCCGGTCCAATTTTATTGGATTACACACCTAATTTTAATGATTCCAATGGTGATGTAAGTTGATTTACTGGAAATGCTTTTCCTAATTTTAACGTTACTGTGTAAAATATTTTGCCAATGTCAGGTTAAGAGTAGTTTTTTCGAGATTGTTTTCATTGATATATCATATGGTGACCAGAATCCAAGTATTTTCATGTGAATGCGGGAAACAAATCGATGCGTTATCCTGAATAGCTTGCTAGACTTCCACGGGTCATTTGTCTGTCTGTCTGAATTCAGCATAGAACTTGGCACCGAAGTGCAGCAGTTCGAGTTGCCACGTCCCAAATAGCATACAAAAGTAGACAAGAAGATGAGTGAAGAGAATCAATAGAGTTTTGACAAGAATGAGTAATGGTAGAAAGGAAAATGAAAGGTTACAGAGACTGAATACATCTGCGCCATTGACAACGATTTTGAGCCATGTCACCTATTGTCTCCAGCCATTGATTCTTAGAGTCCCGAGGGCCCTAACCCGGAAGTCTGCATCTCCCTACCTGACTCAGTTTAACTGTCAAGGACTTCATGGATTGATACCATGTTTTTGTTTGGCCACCACTTACTCTTTTCCAACCCGCACCTATATCAGCTAGTAATGCCCGTCGGGGGAGGCGATGGTTAGGCATGCGCAGCACGTGACCTAGCCATCTCAATCTATGTAACTTCATAGCCTCTTCGATTGATATTCCCTCTTTGCCCAACACTCTACGCCTAACATCAACATTACTTACCTTATTATGCCACCTAACGTGAGAAAGAGATCGTAGACATCTATGATCAAAAACAGTCAACCTTTTCATGTCTTCAACTCGTATTGGCCATGTTTCAGAGCCATAGAGAAGAACGGAGCGAACTGCTGAGCAGTACACACGTCCCTTGGTTGATAGCCGGATGTCACGCCTACGCCATAGATGGTGTAAGTTAGCGAAAGCCGCTCGAGCTTTTTGGATCCGTGCTGAGATTTCGTCGCCAATCAATCCATTGGTGCTGATATAACTTCCCAAATAGGTGAAGTGGTCATTTACAATCAAAATGTATATTCCAGTAACATCAAAACATAATTCAACGTGATGGAATCTGTGGTACCATTGAACAGTATTAACTTATATCCATAGATACATAACTACTTCAACAATGCTATCTAGCAGCTATACACTCCAAAGGCTTCTCACTTACAAAATACATACTGTACAATTAAATTACTCAACCAAAAGTATCTGAGAATCAATAAGAATATTCCGAACAAGGTGGGATCAAAACTCTGCCTTAAACAAAAAGTCAAATAGAACAAGATACGTTTCTTTCAGACAGTACAAGGTCAAGCAGTTACTCCGCGGCATAATACTAGACTTCACTAAAACAGAATCTCAGTCTTAAAACAACACATGACGCTCAACACCATCATACAACATCAGAAATAAGCACTAAAAATAGGGACCAAGAAAAATCGAAGTCTAATAATGAAGGTACAGGCAAAAGGAGGTATTCAAATGTTCGAACAATGGTATATGAGCTTGGAGAAAATGGTAGTAACTACAAAATTATTCGAAATATTCATACAATTGTCAGTATTATAACTAGATTGTTCATGGATCGTACTGCAGATCAACTATTCGGCTACAGTTTGTTTAAATCTAGAATTTTCCGCCTAAATATATTTAGACATAATGTTTGACTTATATAAATATGTCCAAACCAAGTACACTTTTAATAGTTTGAAAAAATTTGAGCATTGGGTATGTGATATGGATTATTATAAAAGATTTTGTATTTCCCAATGAATGTAAAACGAAACGATATTGTTCTTACTGGCGTTTGCTGCCGAATTACTCTGTGTCTTCAAAACCAGTCCTATTTTGAGTTCGAGAGTAAAAGATAAACTGCCTAATTTCGCCTCTTCTATGTGTGTGTATCTACCCATTTAACTGCTCCTGTGGAGCCAGTTACATAGACTATATAATTAGGCGTGTTTCTCGTCGAATTTCCGAACATCACCCTGCTTAGTGGTTAAGTAAAGGACAAACAAAATCTATTTGCAGCGCTATTCTATCTCATCTTGTGGATACAGAACACAAGATTGATATTAATGAGACTTTCAATGTCCTTCAATGGACGAAATATTCCCATATTGAACCATAAGAAAAAGGCACAAACAGTGAAGAAAATTTTCTTTTCGACGATTCATTTTCATGAGCTGTACAATCGTTATTATAATTAGCAAAGAAATCTTTAGACCAATCAGATACTGGTAAACTTTGTCCTTGAAAAATTGTATTACATAATGTAAGGTGTAAGAAGGGATGACTAATTGTAACATATAGAAAATCAAAACAAATGATTCAGCGAAGAGACTCTTTTCAACGAATTTATCATCAAGCTGTACAATCGCATATATATGGTTTTAAGAAGTTATATCCGGTGAGGGAATTGAAACATAGGTGTGAATGCATAAAATAATAATAATATGAAATGCAATTAAAACTAAAATGTTAGTGATCATAATCGTCGTTAAACGTCAAGTGGCAAAGCAAATTAATGTCATATATAGAATAATTCATAGGATGGACAGAACTTGAAAAAGGTGTGCAAGTATGAGATTAGTAGACAAATCGAATAAAATAAAAGCGTTACGTAATATTGTGTGAAATTTAATAGCATAGAATTTAATGTTGCATAAAGGAATTGATTTAGAATGACAAGTGGAACAAGTGAAATAATACCGAGGACAATTAGAAGTGAGAGTAGTAATAGTAACAACTGACTTATTGACTAATTGTAAATTAGAAAGGAGACAGAAGTTGGCATGACGTATTAAGTGTGAGGTAATGAATAATCAATAAGCTCGTGTAGAATGGACAGGAACTAGTGGAAAGATTATAAGGTGTTTTTATATAAAATCTGTATGAAAAAGCAATGTTATTAATAAACAGTAATAGAGTGGTAATAAAATATGGATGATGGGAACAATAATGATAATAATAGTGAACTTACATAATAAAGGAAAGAAGCAAAATTGTAGTAATAACTTTACTCTGGCCATTGTAGGGCAAGAGAATGTATGTATCGCTTTTGAATCCATAGGTCCGGTTTCAGATCTCGAATAGCTAATGCCTCAGCTATGTACAGATGGCGTATCCGAAGTCCCTTTGTACGACATTGAGGGACTCTGTGTAACACTGTGAAGCATTCATGTGGGGTTGCTGGATGTCTGGAGATGACCAGGTGTTCGAGTATCGAGCTGTTGCTATTGCTTCTTTCAAAGTCATTTACCGCATACCAACTAATCTTAACTTCGCCTTAAGGGTTCGTTTACTAAATATTACTGGGGCTGTTGGGATCCATATTAAGAAGCCTAATCTGTGCGTCCAAAAGAAGCTAGTTCAGACACTATCCTTACTGTGGCCATCTAGGTTTGAATGATCCTGAATTTTTGTGGAATTTTCCTAATTTTAGTTGATATTCTATTCGCTATTATATCTTTATTATTATTATTATTATTATTATTATTATTATTATTATTATTATTATTTAAGCATATTTAATAAACTGTAATTCCATTGGCCTTATTTTACAAATCGATGTTATTTAAAAACACTAATATTGTTACTGACAACTATTCTCGAATATTCTATGTATATAAACATATACATAATTGTAGAGTCAGAAGAAGAAATTATCGAAAAGGATATTCTTTGCTCAACTTTTTTTGTTTTTTTCTAGATGTCTGAATGAATATTTTCGCTATTATGCTAATAGCTTTATCAGAGTATTATTAAACGAGAATTTAGAAAATCTCAGCTTATATATAGCAATTTAATCATTATTTTTGTGTAAACACCTGCTGTTATCTTTACCAATTGACTAACTGGACAAGGTGAAAACTGCTTCATACTGAAGGCAGATGATCAAGTTGCTATGTATAATTTGAGATTTTGTAAACTCTTGTTTAATAATACTTTGATAAACAGCGAGACGTCAGTAAAAACAACATTGTTTTGTTTTTCATTCATTGGGGGATACGAAAGCTTTTATTAATAATGTTTGACTTGTAACATTATGCATGTCTTCTGGCCATTGAGAGCAGAAGACATGAAAAGATTAGCTGTCTTCGATCATAGGTGTCTGCGTTCTATCTCCCGCGTGAAGTGGTATAATAAGGTGAGCAATATCGAGGTTAGGCGTCGAGTGCTAGGTAAGGCGGAGAAATCAATAGACGAGTCTGTGAAATTACATCGACTGAGATGGTTAGGACATGTGCTACGTATGCCTAGTCATCGCCTTCCTCGACTGATGGGCAATGTTAGCTGATATAGGGCCAGGCTGGAAAAGAGCTAGCGGCGGTCAAACGAAAACATGGCACCAATCAATGAAATCCATAACAGTTAATCTAAGCCACGTAGGAAGATGTAGACTTCCTGGTTGGGGCCCTCGGGATGGTAAAAACCAATGGTTAGAAACAATTGGTGACATGGCTCAAAATCGTTCTCAATGGTTGGTGCAGATGCATCCACTCCTTGTGACTCATGATTTCCAATTAAACTGTTTTGTTCTCCGTTATTACTATTCCTTTGTCTCACACCTCTGTTTACTGTCTATATTATGCATTTCTTCTACTTCCTTCTCTTGCTTTGTGTGCTACATAGATTGTGGCGACTTGAACTGCCGCACATATGTGCAAAGTTCTATGTCGAAAACCGACCGATGTGACTATAATCATAGTTAAGCATCACGCGACACGACAGGTTACGTAACTTATAATATGGGTCGTGGAATGTATAATTCTTAGAAAGGGGGAGGCATTTAAAACATTATCCAACAAGGTGGAAATTTCGATAGGATGACATTATGAAGACAGTTTTTCCAACTACCCCTTCTCTTATATGACTTTTAATCTGTTTATACTTAATTATTGTAGTCCCCATTTCTGCCTTTGAGCTTACCTATTTTTCATTTCGTTTCGTTTCTTCATTCTGTGTGCCCATCCCTTTTATAGTTTATTGACATTAATGTTTTCATTTCTAACAGTTTCTGGTATTTCCTCACTTGTCAACCTTTATTTATATTTACTTCGATATAATGTTTTGCAGTGTTATCTTATCGAGATGCTCACTTTGTTACGTAATGTTTCATTCACCCGCTGATCGTACGAATTCTGCACCCTTCTGATCTCAGAAGAGTCATACAACTACTCATTCTCTCCTTCTCTTTTTCTCTCTCATATGTAATAATCACTTTCAACCCTTTTTTTTTCCTTTCAGGACGAAACATGGACATCTGATAGTTTGCCGCGTTGCAGGCTGGTATTTGCTGGTTGGCGTGGAGTGAAAAGTATTCGACACTATATTGGACGATTTGAGCGATTACATTTGATGCGACTAGCCAATATTGAACCTAAGCCATGCATTATGGGTCATACATGCAAAGAGATTTCACCGGCAGAAAATTGTGAAGTCATTGAAGAGACTGTCTAAACTTGTACATTGTTAAAAATCTCATTGCATGTTGATTGATTAGCATACGCTACATCTGTGACTGAAGGGATACAGATAACAGTGTTTTTACAATTAATTTCTCGTGTAAAAAATCTTATACCTGTATCCTTCTATTTCCTTTTTAATAATAAATAATTTTTGAATTGAGTTTAAAGACGTAAGAAAAATTCTGTTTGGGCGTTTAAAGTATCATAGTGATGACAAAGAATTGATGGGTAGTCTATAGAAGGTGATGAACATATCATAAACCGCAGTCTTTGATCATAGGTGCTTGCGTTCTGTCTTCCGTCTTAAATGGTATAATATTGTGAGTAATATGGAGGTCAGACGTAAAGGGTTAAGTAAGAAGGAAAATTCAGTTGGTCAGGTTGTGAGGCTATGTCGATTAAGATAGCTAGGGTATGTGCTATATTCCTTGTCGGGCAATGTTAGGTGACATCGAATTAGGTTGGAAAAGAGTAGTTAAGGGTGGGCGTTCAAAGCAGAACCTGGCAACATTCCATCAAGTATCTGATCCGACCACTTAGGAAGACGTAGACTACTTGATTAGGATCCTTGAGACTCTAAGAATCAGTGACTGGAGACTTTTGATGATATGGTTCGGTGGCTCAGGTGAATTCACTCTTCGTAATCTCCCAGGTCCACTTAGTCCTCATGATTTTCCATGTAACTATTCTTTCTCCCGTCCAACTCGGCTCATTAATATTTTATTATTATTGTTTCCGTTAGTTCTTAGAGAAACATAGGGCTTCAGCCACATGTCTCCATTGCGTTCGGTTCTCCGCCAACGTTTTCACCTGGCTCCACGTCTGCCCACATGCTTTCATCTCCTCTTCGCATGACCTCCTCCATGTCACCCTCGCACTGACGACCAACTCGCCGCTTCCCATTCGGGTTCCACTCGAACGATGGCCTGGCGTGTGATGTCACTCACTTGATGATTTGTTTTCTCAGAGTATGTCCAATCCACCTCCATTCCTTCCTGCATATTTGTTGCACAGTGGGCTCCTGGTTGGTTCGCTCCCAAAGATCTCTGTTGTTGATCTTTTCTGGCCATCTGATCTTGATTATTGACAGCTCATTATAGTTCTTTTGAATTTTCTGCTTTTCCTTCACCATCAGTGTGCTGCATGGGATTCTGGCAGCTGGAACCGCTCCACTCCTGTCCAAAGTTCTATCTTGAAACGTAGTCAGATAGTCATTGGCTTCTTATATTTATCTGTCTTGCTTATCAATCAACTAAACAGGAGCATATGTATAGTAGTAATGAAAGTTTTCTGCGAGTATAACAGGTGTACTTTAACTGACAGATTAAAACCTGCACTCACTTATCTTGAATAAATGTAATATCTGATAACATGAAAAAAACTTGTTAATATTCAATCGATTTAATTCTGAAATGGTACAATCAGAGTCAGTTGACTTCAATTTGCAAAACACAAGCCAATCGGATGATGTTTTATTTTAAAGTAACCTAGTGGGTGTTTTGATGTCTGTTCTCGTTTCTGAAAATGCATTTTCCCTGTCAAAATGGCGTCCATAACTGTCTACATGCATTGATGTGAAAGAATACATATCGTATCTATTAACAGCTAGTTTGTTCTTGGATGCTGAGTCGAAGTGGACTCCCACCTTGATCAGTGTAGTCTTGATCACAATTAATTCTGTAGATAGTGTTGATCTTGTCTTCTTCTGTTGTTCGGTCTTCTGGTCTACATTGTATGCACTGAAGTAATTGTGTGCGTTTGTGTGCATGATATCTCTTCCGAAGTGTCCCAGTATTCTAGTCATGATTTCAGATATATTTTTAATATACGATAGGATGAATTCTCTTGTAGTTTCTGTGGACGATTTTTTTCTGGCAGTTCGATTCGAGTTAAGATATATTTTAATAAAATTGTCAGGGATTCCGTTTTTCCCGAGGACAGTTAATGGATATTTCTCTTCTGAATGGCGAATATTCTTTTCAATAATTTCTCTTTAGTTTCTTACACTTGTAAAATATAATATTTGTTGTCGTTACAATAATTGCCAGTTATGCGGTGGATACAGCTTTTCTTACGTAGAATAACAGATTAGTTATGGGGTGTCAAAATAAATAGTTGTATTTGTGTGACAAACGTGCTAGGCTGAAATCGATTAGGAAATATTGTAAAATATGAGACAGTGGTGGTGTAACGGCATAAATATTATATTTTATAATTGTAAGAACATGAAAAGAAATTATTTTAAAGAATATTCTTCGTTCAGATTGACTTTTAATTCATGATATGGGAATATTTCACACTATTAAATCTTATTTCTCTTCTATTCTTTTTGGGACTGGAATGCTGCAATGTGTTTGTACAATATTATTTATTGGCACGATGATTAAATGCATAGGATGATACATGGGTCATTGTGTTCTTATTGCCTCGCTGTTTAAAAGCAATTTAGTTTCACACTCTATATGTGCTTAAACTTGGCCTTTGATCTATGCTTAGGTATATCAGTCAAATAAAGCCAATTTTTGCACGGATATTTAGGATACTACTGATAAATAGTGAATAATATGTTTCACATTCATAAAAAGATGTATCAGTCTATTATCATTTACGAAGTCAAAAGCATACCACTTTCATATTTCGACTTTGGATTTTGTAGGGATTTAGATTAATTTCATTATAGTTGTCGTCAAGATATGCCATCGACTCGAGAGTAACTGGAGATTGAGGAGTACTGGAGTCTTCTATTTCCTCGTTCTGGTCTCCTCAGCAGTGTTCACATACGATCCCACCAATTATCGAGTTCAGCACCTTTAGTTTACTAGTCAAGTCATTGACCTGTGATGTACCACCACCACCAATCACTTCCGTCGATGATCATTCTCCTCACTTTGAGATATTGAATTCCACACTTCAGGTCACGACTTCCTATTACAAATTTAAGATATCTGTCGAGTAGCCACTAATCAGCTGAAGTATGATGTTTTAATTTTGGGTTTCATCGGAATTTAAATTAATTCCCTCCTAAACGACCTGGTACAGTCAAGGTTGGGTAGACTTAGGCTTTCCTCTCCAAATGTTCTGATGTGGCTACACGTTCATAGCCTCTGTCCGATGAACTTTATTCACTGTCTTCATGTGGCGAGGGTGTTCCCCACAAAAGTGAAAGGGCGAATATGAATGTCTAATGCTTACAACTAGACTGTTAGGCATGCCGGTGTATCTACTGGAGCTGGAAAATTTTGATTCCGAACCTGTTGTATACATGGGCTCCAGAATTAAAATGGATTGAATGGTGTATGGAACGGTTTGGCTCAGCGGAAACCTTGGGGACATAGCTCTTGACGCTGTTGCACTCTCTTGTGGATCAGACTTCAAGTTACAGCCTCGGGAATGGCCCCTTTATGCAACCACTTGCGTCTGCCCATTATCCCAGCCGTCACACTAACCATGAGATTCTGTGTGGCACAACTCCTGTTTGTGTTCCAGTAATTATCATAGATTTCGTCAGGACTGCGCACTGTTGAAGAGTCCTCAAGCGAGACGAAATGGTCGTCTAGTGCCCCATCATCTTCAGCTGTCATTTAGCTACATCCATTCAGTTGCACTAGCATATCTTCGATATTTCATACAATTAATCCCCCTGACAAACTTGAATAAAGCAAGAAGAACATACTGAGTGACGTCAATATATTTCGTTGGTTCATATTAGCTGCGTATAACCATGATCAATTTAATATCAATATTACAAAATATTCGAATACGCAAGTTATTGATCATAAAGGTGATAAATCATTGAAAATGTAACTCTGAACAGTCGAGGTAACACAAAGTTGAATTTGCTGCCGTAGAAAAAGCTTGTTCTTGTTGTTAATTTTTCAGCTTACGGTTAATTTCACAAACATGAAGACTGGAATGTCAGGATAGTGACACATTTTTTATTCACCTTCAAATACAGTTAGTTGCGAGTTTGATGTATATAGTGTGTCAGTTTCCAGCTGATTTCAGAAATAACATATTAAGCAATAATTGTCTCTGGGGTGTTTTCGCAGGCCAACTATTCACTGTCATATCATTTGTTCTTCAGCACTGACTGAACTCTATTGTCCACAATGTCAGTATACTTCTTTATTGTTGAGAAAGAAAAGATATCGATGTTGCAATGGGATTGGTTTAGTTGTAGGTAAAATGGTTGAACAGATGTCTGAGGCCGAATATACAAGGTTTTTTAGATAAATGTAATCAAACTTTAGGTCACTCCACATCTTATATTTTTTGAATGTTTTGCCAACATGCCAAATACCGTCATCTCATCACAATGATTACTTGTTATCAAACATTTTAAGTCAATAACTCAATCGCCATCTTGTCGATTCCTCCATTGTATGTGTAAAAAATAATCGCTGTGAAATAACAGTCGTATATGACAAATTCTAAATTGTAACTGGTGTCACTCCTGGAAAATTTCCTCTGAGTGTTAAAGTTTCAATGTCTTTGACATTGACTAGTGCAGCTTTGAACGACAGAGAGGGAGAGAGAAAATCTTTCACTGAAGGTTGTAGATATCCTCCTGGATAATAAATTCAAACATGCAGAATATGTTGGTTCAGGACATCCAGTAGACAGAATTTTCCTAATACCCATATATGTGGAACTGAAAAACTTATGAGTCACGTTTTTTTATGACTCATGTCAAATGTACGAATTGTCTGTCAAAGCGTGCGGTCATATTAGCTTATGAATGGGGTAAAAGCAAATTTTATGTAATCTAAGATTGATTTGGTGGATGATTGTTCGAAATATGTTGCGTAAATACATTACACGATTCAGACAATTTTCTCCTATTCCTATGAGTTCCTAGGACTTGAAGCTCTAGCTGTGAAATTTCAGTAGCAGTAGCGTTTTTCTACGAGGTGGGGTTGCTACCATCACTCCCAGCTTCCCATCTTTGTAGAGAATATTACCGGCCGAAGGGGGTAGAGATGAATGCAGGCCAGGACTGGAGTTCCAGACCACGTGCATGCTCTGCCAGCACTCTGCCGCTGAACAACCGACGCACAATTCGGACAAATTACATCTTACTGCTTTGTCTATATACATATATACATGCAAAAACCCAAATTGTGAGATATCTTGGCTGCATATCGTCAAGCGCATCAACAGGGAAAGG